TGTTCTTCTTCTAGTTTCCAACAGGATTATTTGCTTTAAGTATGGCACATGATTAACCATGGGTTTACCAGGTTGGATTTGCAAGCATTTAGGTTAGAGCCAGCATGACTCAGCAGAGAGTGTGAGAGATTAGAGCAGAGCTGAGAAGCAATGGCCCACATCTTTTTCTTTTTTCTTTCCTTTTGTGTGGAATGGCCAGTTAATGCAGTGGTTGTTCTTTCCATGCTGTATGTTCAAGGGGAGATTCACTACTTCATTGTACAAGCAAAATCCCCAGTGCCATGAATGGCAATATCTCTGGCTTCTGCACATGTGAGCTAGAGATAGGTAGGTCAGTGGAGCCGCTATGCTTTGTGTTTACAAATGATAAGGCTGAGTGTGCTTTATAAGCACAGACTTTTCCACTTAATGTTGGGGAAGGCTTTGGAACTTGAAACAAGCTATTCAGAGAAGATGTGGAACACTTTATCTGGGATGCTTTAATTATAACACAGTATTTCTCATTTGAGAGGATGTTAGACCTAAAGAATGGCTTTTGCGCTTAGTTCTGTATAACGCTGGGATTCTTTGGAAGCATATATGTAACTACTCAATGAGATCAATAAGTTGTGCTTGGGACTTGTGAATAATTCTCACTGTTGTCTCAGTTCCAGCCAAGGCAGTCTGTCTATACATGGTGAGAAAGGCTGTTGAGAATTTTCCACCTCCCATCAGATATCTTACCTTAATTGCAGAACTGAGACATCAAGCTCTTTTCTTAGTTTTATGTGTGCTTTTTTAAAATAAAACTAGGTAAAACTAGCATCTTTTCCTTTTGTGAAGTTGTGCATGTACACACAGCAAGTGTGCAAGGGCAGGCTGACTGGTCACAAAGACACGAAACCTGGGCTACTTTTGCTAGTCTAGGCAACAAAGCAACAGTGATTTCAGTTTTAAATTAGGCACATGTTAAAGATATGTGCAAAACAGTCTCAAAAATGTGCAAAATCAGATTTTTCAGTTATTATGTTGCAATAATGTACAACCGTATCTTGCAAAAATGTTTACATTGTCTCATTCACTCTGTCCGGATGAAGCAAGTCAAGGTTGACATGGGTAGTTCTGGTCTAGGTGCCACGTGACACAGTTGCAGCCCACTTCAACTATTGTAACCTGCTCTACATGGATCAGCCTTTGAATTGTGTTCAAAAACTACAGCTAGACCAGAGTCCTGGAGCCAATTACAGGGACCATGTGACCCTTGTAAAACTGCTTCATACTGCTTGTTATTAACTAAAGCCCTTGAGACCTCCAGTTTTTAAAAAAAAATATATTCATAGGTTTAAATAATAATAATCTTGGAACTGCATAGCTGGAAGGGATCCTATGAATCATCAAGTCCAGCCCCTGCCAAGGAGGCACAGTGGGGAATTCAACTCCCTACTCAGATGCCTAAGCCACTGAGCTATCCAGCAGTTTTGTATGCTGATAAACAATTACAGAAAATACATAACTCAGATAATCAATATTACTTAACAAACAACATTAAAACAATAACCGATGGTGCTACTAATTATTTTGAGCACCTCTGGGGGCAGGTTATGAATAAGAAAAAAATGACAGATCATATTCTCCCTTATGAGCCTCTTAGATTTTCTGATATTTCTATGCAAAGCGTTTCCCTCTGGTACACCATTATCAGAGACTCAGCTGATGGGGACATAGAGAGGTGTTTGTTTTTTTAAAAATGGGGGCTCCAAGTTTCCAGAATCCCAACCACGGAAGGCCCGTCTAGCTGGGTCTGTTTTGAGGCAGCAACTCTCGTATTCATATAGCCTCCTGGAATTTAAATTGGATTGCACTTGAAGGGGTTTTAATTAGTTGTATATTTTTAGTCTATGTGTTTTCAATTCATATTTTAATTTCAGTTTGTTCTACTTGGATTTTCTTACTGTTGTGTGCCATTTTTTGGTAAAAAGCCACAAAACTAGCTAATCTATTTTTACTTGCAGCGTGCTAAAGGATTACAGCTATTTTAGCCTCAAATATGCAGAGGACACAGGGTTTACCTGTTAACTGCCATCTGTTAGTTCTGGGGTGCATTTTCTGTCAGAATAACACTAAGATCAAGGAGTCCTGTCAGGTAGGCCCCGTGAACAAAGCGTACTTGTCAGGATATTCTTCTGACTCCATAATCTTTAACTGCAGGGGCATTGAGAAGATGGATCTTAGGGGTTTCCTTCTCTTAATCATTTAGTAGTGACCACAAAATTGCCCTTTTCTCTGCCTAATTAGAATGATGAAATCAGGAAAGTTTAGGAAGAATAGAGATCTTGTGTGAAATAATTTATGCAAAGTCTAGTTCCAGGGTAGATAAACACAAATGATGTTTAAGAATCAAATTGATATAAATCACAAATTAAAATTAAACATTTATTTTTATTTAAATCCATGTTATTTAAAATCAAATGCACCCTGTCGAGTTCTAACACTGAAAATTAATTTCTAGACTAAGCACATGCCCAGAATTGCACCTTGCCTGGCAATTCTGTATTTGTCTTCATGAGCCACTCTTTTGCACCTGTCTCTTGTTAGGGGACGTGGTAGTGCTGCGGGCTAAACCGCAGAAGCCTCTGTGCTGCAAGGTCAGAAGACCAGCAGTCATAGGATCCAATCCACACAACACGTGATGGAGAAAGCTCCTGTCGCTTGTCCCAGCTCCTGCCAACCTAGCTGTTCGAGAGGATGTTAATGCGAGTAGATAAATAGGTACCACCACAGTGGGAATGTAATGGCATTCCGTGTCTAGTCGCGCTGGCCATGTGGCCACGGAAACTGTCTACGGACAAACACTGGCTCTATGGCTTGGAGACGGGGATGCGCACCGCGCTCTAGAGTCGGACACGACTGGACTAAATGTCAAGGGGAACCTTTACCTTTATCTTGTTAGCCAGTCTAAGACAGTGGAGAAAAGCAAAGCCAGATCCTGTTCCCACTGTGCAATACGCATGGTTCCAAATTAGACATGCAGCAGTTTGTTGGTAGAGCAAACTGTGTGGGATGACTTTTTTCAGTTTTAAAGTCTTGGAGACTGCTGCAGTAGAGAGTTCAACTGCTTGTCATTATTTAAGGTTGTGGCAAAATGGAGTGGGCTGCATGTGGTCCTCTAGCTACCCCAGAGCCCTTCATGCAGAAAATAATATCAAGGTTTTGGTTTTAAAAACAGTTCTTCCACTCATGGATTTTCCAAGAGCTGTGGTTTTGACGCTAGGATTTGCAGGAGGGATCCCAGCCCCCCATAAAACCAAAAGTCC